TGTGCTCCATTCTTGAGCGTTATTTTCACTTATATTTTTCAACTGTCCCTGTCACTTAAATCTGTCCCCCTACTTTGGAAGGAATCCATACTAATCCCTGTGGCCAAGATTCCATCACCTAGGGTTCTGAGCGATTATCGGCCAGTGGCTTTGACTTCCCTGGTGATGAAATGCTTTGAGCGCATTGTTAAGAGGAACTTACAGCACATGACTCGGAACATGATAGATCCTCTTCAATTTGCTTATCAGCCACACAAAGGGGTTGAGGATGCCACAACAACATTACTGGACTTTATGACAGGTCACTTGAAGGGTGACAAAACTCATGTGCGATTATGCTTCATGGATTTTTCTTCTGCTTTTAACTGTATGCAGCCTCATATTTTGGCCGACAGGCTTTTAAAATTTCCAAGCTTTGACCTGGGCACGGTATGCTGGCTGGTTAATTTTTTAACAGTGAGGCCTCAGAGAACCAGAGTTAACAACACACTGTCTAATTTAATTTATTGCTCAACAGGTTCTCCACAGGGATGTGTCTTATCACCACTATTGTTCGTACTCTACACTAATGACTGTCAGAGTAAATTTGAATCAAGGCATATAATTAAGTATGCTGACGATTCTGTCATTATTAGTCTTTTGCATGATCATGTGGAGGGTCATGGTCCAGTGTTGGACAACTTTGTTGCATGGTGCAAAGACTCATATTTACAACATAATATCTCAAAAACTAAAGAGATGCTTATTGATTTTCGCCGTAACTCTTTCTTATGCTACTACTACTGCTATAAACGGTATCGTTGTCGAGACAGTGAGTGAGTATAAATATCTGGGAACCATTTTGGATGACAAATTGAACTTTGAGGCCAACACTAATTTTATCTGTAAAAAGGCAAATCAAAGACTGTTCTACTTAAGGAAGTTGAAGGGATTTAATGTGGATGCATTTTATTCTTCTTTTATTGAGACTCTTAACTTTTGCAGTAATATGCTGGTATGGTAATTTTAGGGTGACAAGTAAAAACATACTTTCAAAAATTGTTTATCAATCTCAAAAGATCCTGGGTATAAATCTTAACAGTATTGGACAAGTGTATGAGGAGAGAGTTATAAAGAAGTTCATGTCCATTTTAGCAGATGAGAACCACCCACTTTATTTAAAGTTTTGCCTCCTGCCATCAGGCAGAAGGTACACTTATTCTAGACGGGCAAGGTCCAATAGATACTTGTATTTATTTGTTCCAACGGCTGTTGGGTTACTAAATAAGCTTAAAGTGATTATTGCATTGTTTACTGTTATTTTATGTTGTCAAATGTGACTTGTTGCTGTCAATTGTCGGCTATTGCTGTAAACTTAATTGCCCTTCGGGGACAATAAAGATATTCTAAGTCTAAGTAAGTCTAAATGGCACTCGCGAGAGAAATTTAAACTCTTAAAGCGTACACAAAATCATGCACAACCTATGTGCATGATTTTGTTAGGAAATGGCACCCTTGTCTGCTGCAGAAAGCAAAGATGATACAGGACACCATGGTGCAAACCAAAATAAAAATATCATTAAAACCATTTTTTTTTTACAATATAAATGCATTTACTTTCAATCTTAAACAATTCATAGTGATACGTAAAATATAAATTTTTTGATACATTTAAAGGGATTTTTATATCTGATGACAACACAATAATAAAAATAATCACAATAATATATTCCTCTTGTGCAGATCATAGTAGTAGAATATCTGAAAGATTGCACAACACTGAAAATTAATCATGATCAATCAATCAGCTTTACTCCCACATCAATTAATGTCTTAGATGTGACATTTTGCAAAATTGTGTTTGTTTATTTAAATTAATACTTTATTACACAGACAGATAAATATAGGAAGATACAACAGAAATCTACACATTATCTGCATTTTTCCTTTTTTTTTTTTTAAGCGTGAGTTCAAACTAGAACCATCCAACATTACATACCCACACCCACCCACAACCCTATGTGGAGGAATGAGAATCAAATAAGAAATCTATACAAACTGTTTTGAGTATATAAACAGAATATACAATGACTTTATATATTAGTGTATTGTCACCGACTCAGTCCCAGTAACTCCCCTCGCTGGCCAGCAGAGGCCACCATCTCCGGACTTTTAGCATTACGTCATTCATCTACACTGATTGCGCATACACCTGATTTGAATCTGGCTAATGACCCACGTACCTCTTATAAGCCGCACTCAAACACACGTTGAGTGCGAAGTCTTGTTTAGCCCTTGTTTAGGACTCTGATCCTTGCTGCCTGCCCTTGACCCAAGCCTGCATAACGGATCCTGGTTCTCGCTCACTCCCTTCCACTCATGCCTGGTAACTCACTCTGTGTCTGTTCATCATCAGTCTTGATACCCATACTACTACTGTGGATGTGTGTGTGCACTTCGGTGCATATTGTGTGTTTGAGTGAAGTTGTGATTAATAAATACTGCATAATGGATCCCTCCGTGTCAGTCTCCTCGTTACAGAAGACTTCGCCCAACATGGATCCCGCAGCCATACAGGTTTTGTCTCACGAGATCACAACGCAAGCTCAGGTATTGACCACAGATCAGCAACAGTTAACACACCTAACTCAGTTGACAGATGAACTGGTGAAATCGCTGCAAAACCTGCAAGCTGCTCCCACCGCGCAACTCACCGCCAGTTACTCTCCCGCTCAACCCTCTGTGACACAGACCCAGGTTGCTTCTGGTGTTCGTCTGGCACTCCCCGACAAGTTCTCTGGTAACCCAGCCAAATGCAAGGGTTTCTTGCTACAGTGTAAACTATTTATCGCCCAGCAACCTCATTTGTTTAAAGATGAGAACAGGAAGATTGCCTTTGTATGTTCATTGATAACAGGAAAAGCTCTAGACTGGGCTACTGCTGTATGGCCAGACAGCACCCCGATATTCCCCTCATTCAATGACTTTCTCAAACGATTTTGCACTGTGTTTGACCATCCCGAGGGTGGCCGTAATGCTGGTGAGGAGCTTCTGTGTTTACAACAGGGAGATAGACCCGCAGCTGAATTCGTTCTACAGTTTCGCACACTGGCAGCGCAAGCAGGCTGGGCTGATGATCCACTCACTACACTTTACCGAAGAGCTCTGCCCTCTGATGAGGGGAAAACATTGGATCAACTCATTGAACTCTCAATCAGGTTAGACACGTTACTTCGTACACGTAACCCTCTATGCTCTCCCGTTTCCTGTCCCGCGTCCCCTGAACCTGTCACTGAACCCATGCAATTGGGGAGAACCTGCCTAACGCCCGAGGAGCGTGAACGACGGAGGAGAAACCATCTGTGCCTATATTGCGGAAATTCAGGACACACGAAGATCCTGTGTCCCAACAAACCGCCCCCTAAGGCTCTTCCGGTGAGTGCTACCACCGTATTCACGACTACCAATGATATTATGAGTTTACCTGTCTGTTTAAAATATGGAGATGTTGAAATTTCAATGGCAGCCATGGTTGACTCAGGAGCCGCTGGCAACTTTATTGACTACACGTTTGCCTCAACACACTCCATTCCTCTAACCTCTTGTGATTCTTCTTTAGCCATTGAAGAAGATTTTATTCTCTCTGTGTGAAGTATTTTCTAAGTGTAAAGCAGTTAATTTTCTCTTCACAAAATGTATGTAGTGTTTGCAGCAAACATGCCAGCCTGTGTTAAAAATACAGTGATATGTCTGTGTAAGATAAGAATGCCTGCACAGGAGCAACACTAGGAGAAGGCTGAGTGACTGATTGTGTAGAATAACTGAATATGTAAAGCACTGATCATATATGTTAAATACTTCTATGAAGCTATATGTGTCAGAAGTTAGAATGAGTAACATATTATCAAGTTATTATCCTATCATAACAATGTATGTAAACACTTAGTTCCATTGCATAAGTTGCATCTATACTTTGCTGTCATAGACCTGTAACATCTCTGTTGACATGAGCTAGTGGGCTGAGAGCCAAGAATAGCAGGACCCCTTAGACTAGAAACCTATTCAAAAATGGTCAAGAGTTAAAAAGAGACTTAGGGGTGTGTATAATAATCCTGTATAAAAATTGTAACAAACACACTGAAAGTTTAGAAGGAGCAGGAGAGACTTTAGAAGGTGTCCAGGAGAGACTTCAGAATGCTCTGGGGTCTGCTCTGCTCTTTCTCGGCTTTATTATGGAGAATAAAGTCTATTTTCTGAAATTCAAAACCTCCGGTCTGATAATTTGTAATTGATGAGACGTCAAAATTTACGACAAATGACGCCCAAAATCGTGGGGCTGGAAAGAGATGGACGGGTGACACTGGACATGCTGGGGCTTGGTGGAAAAACACAAATATGTGGCCACGATAAAAAATGGTAAGCAATTTTAAGCTTATACGTTTGTGTTTTTTCTACCAAGGACCTGCTTGTAACGGTAAAAAGTCACTTGAACTGTTTCTCCAGCTATAACGAACTACAAGTAAAACTAAAAAAGTAAAAGTAAAGATATAAAAGGAAACAAAGGGGTTTTGAATACCAGAAGAAAATAACAATTTGCATGCAAATGATCTGTGTTTTCCTAAGAGGGCTTTGACAGATAGGATAAACGTTAACTAGTAACTGTTACTCATGTTTGGGAAATTTTTTAATGATGAAGAATATGCCTAGAGCATTTTTAAGTTTTAAAAGGAAGTTCTTAAAGTGTGGTGACAGTTAAGAGATTAAAACAGATTAATAAAGTAGAGAGAAGCGCGCAAAGACCTCGGAGTACCCGTTCTGTTTTAATAATAATAAATATTATTATTCAGGAGGCTGGGGGAAAAAAGGCACAAATCCTGTGAAATGCTTTTTTTACTGTAAAACAGTAAAAACTGGAGAAGCAGTAACAGGTCACTCAAGAGGAGTGTAGTGGAGAATTCTATGGTTACCGCTCTAAGGTTAGAGGCTGCTCGGACAGGTCACTCAAGAGGAGTGTAGTGTCTTTATGTAATTGTAAGTATTTGTGTATTTGTCTGTGTTGCTGGGGTGCTTAGAAGCCTTCACCTTTGATCTAGAGAGACTAGAATAGAGGTGAGGTTCAGGCTACACAGTGTAAGAGATGAGGTTAGGACGAGTGAGAAGTATGATTGTGTTTAGAAGTATGTTTGCAATAAGAGTGAGTTTAAAAGAATTATCGTTTTATATTATAATATAAAAGAAGGACTGCATATGTTGTGTGATTTAAGAACAATAAGATAGAGAGTGATGCAGTTTAGGGAAGAGATTGTGATACAGAGGAGGTGTCACGGTTGCAGGTTTGTGCGCTTTTCCGGAGTGTATGTTCGATCACGTGGGTTTGTTTTGTTTTGGTTGTCCATGTGTACCTGTTATGCTCACGTGACATGACGACACTCAGCGGGGCTGATTACTCACCAGCTGAGGCTCATTATTAGCCCTATATCAGGGCGACATTTCTATGTCTCTTTGTCAGTTCGTTACATCTGTTCTCATGTGTGTTATCTGTGCTCAGGCCCCTGAGGAGATATTTCTGGACCCTGTTTTTCCTGTCTGTTCCTGCCCTGTGTTCGTCGTCCTCCTAGCCTGTCACTTCCTTGTTTGTTTATTTTGACTTGGTCAAATAAACCTTATTTTCACTTGCTATTGGATCCTATTTTGACTCTTATTTTTGTTGAACGTGACAGAACGAACTGACCTCATTATGGATCCAGCGAGTGCATCCCAAATCTCCGAGTTCGTCTCGCACAGCAACGCCAGGATAGCCCGTCAGGATGAGGCTTTGGCCACCACGTCACAGGCGATCCAGGCTCTGGTCGGCCAAGTGTCGCTGCTTACCTCCCAAGTCCAACAGTTGATCACTGGAGCTGCACAGGCTGACTCGGCATCGACTCCGGAGGTGACACCACCAGCGCCTGCGGTTGTTGGTCGCTCTGTTGAACCGCGCCTTCCACCCCCGACCTGCTACTCTGGGGAGCCCCTCTTGTGTCGATCCTTTTTGTCCAAGTGTTCCCTTTATATTACGCTGCAACCATCATTGTTTGCCACTGAAAGATCCAAGGTAGCGTTTGTCATCACGCTTCTTTCAGGCAAGGCGGCCCAATGGGGAACTACAGCATGGGAACAAAAGCTACCATGCTGTGCTACCTTCGACCTGTTCTCCAAAGAGTTAAAGAAGGTCTTTGATCAAGCCGCCTCCGGGAGAGAGGCTGCGCGAGTTCTTGCTGAACTCCGCCAGGGGAATCGCAGCGTGGCGGAGTACTCAATAGAGTTCCGGACCTTAGCCGCTGAATGCGGCTGGAACGCAGAAGCGCAATGGGACATGTTTTTGCACGGATTATCTGACCGGCTTCAGGACGAGATATATTCGTTGGATCTTCCCAAAACTCTTGACGGGCTAGTCGACTTAGCCATCCAGGTTGACACTAGACTGCGCCGTCGAGAGAGTCGCCTGCAGCAAGGCGGGTTTTCGGAGCTCGTTCCTGACTTTCCGGCCCTGGCTGCGACACCGGAAGTGGTAAGCGCTGACCCGGAACCCATGCAGGTGGGTAGATCCCGCTTGTCCGTGCAGGAGAAGCACCGACGGAGATCGGAGGGACTCTGCCTCTACTGTGGTGGGGCGGGGCATCGAGTGGCTTCCTGTCCCGTAAAAGACAACACCCATCAGTAGGTAAGAGGTTACTGATGGGCGAAATTAATATGGACAAATCCTCTACGTCTGCTACTTTACTGCCCGTCTCTTTATCATGGGGCTCCGGAACTCATAACACACAGGCGCTCGTCGATTCCGGAGCGGAAGGAAACTTCATTGACTCTAGTTTTGCTTTCAGTTTCAAACTTCCGGTTATAGCACTATCACAACCCATTGCAGTACGCGCACTCAGTGGACTTTCCCTTCCCACTATCACCCACTCCACCAAACCCATAAAACTCATTACGTCTGGAAATCATGTTGAACACATTTCATTTTTTTTAACAGACTGTTCCAACTCACCGGTGGTTTTAGGTCATCCTTGGTTGATTCTGCATAAACCCCACATTAATTGGGGCCTTAATTCTATATTCTCGTGGAGTGAGAAATGTCATGAGTCTTGTCTTTCGTCTGCTCGTTCTGCTGTTTCTTGTTCTGTGTTTCAGGAGGAGCGCATGGACCTGTCAAACCTGCCCAGTGAGTACCTCGAATACATCAGGTCTGCCAAACGACTTAACTCCAGGCAGGCTCGGTGGGCATTATTCTTCGGACGTTTTGACTTTACCATCTCTTATCGGCCGGCTTCCAAAAACACCAAACCCGACGCGTTATCCCGTCTTTTTGATTCTTCCGAGCGCAATCCGTCTCCTGAGTCCATCGTTCCCCAGAGCATTTGTATTTCTGCGGTGACTTGGGAGATCGAGAGCAGGGTCCGCACAGCCCTGGAAGGGGTAACGCCCCCGGCCGGTTGCCCACCCAGTCGTTTGTTTGTGCCGGAGGAGATTCGGTCTGACGTCATTCGGTGGGGACATTCCTCCAAAGTGGCTTGTCATCCGGGGGTGAGTCGTACCTTATTTTTGGTTAAACAGCGATTTTGGTGGCCAGCTATGGCACGGGACATGCGCGAGTTTGTTTTGGCCTGTTCTGTTTGTGCTGTTTCTAAGACTTCTAATCGCCCTCCCGCTGGACTCCTTCAGCCGCTGTCAGTGCCTTCGAGACCCTGGTCGCACATTTGGCTAGATTTTGTCACTGGTCACTGGTCAGTGGCAATACGGCTGTTTTGACTGTTGTGGACCGGTTCTCGAAGGCTACTCATTTCATTCCTCTGCCCAAATTACCCTCAGCCAGAGAGACAGCGGATGCTGTCATTAATCACGTCTTTCGCATTCATGGCCTCCCGACGGACGTGGTTTCTGACAGGGGGCCCCAGTTTGTCTCTAAATTTTGGAGAGAATTTTGTCGTTTATTGGGAGCGACTGTAAGTCTTTCTTCTGGTTTTCATCCTCAGAGTAACGGACAAACAGAGAGGGCCAATCAAGATCTCGAGCGCATGTTACGTTGTTTGGTTTCCCAAAATCCCTCCTCTTGGAGTCAGCAGCTCCCATGGGTGAAGTACGCACACAATTCATTACCAGTGTCGGCTACGGGCCTCTCTCCGTTTCAGTGTAGTCTAGGTTACCAGCCACCAGCTTTTCCCAGTCTGGAATCCGAAATCGCGGTCCCCTCCGCCCACGCCTTTGTCCAGAGGTGTCGACGCACTTGGAGCAGGGCCAGACAGACCCTCCTCCAAGTGGGTGCGCGCACTAAGGCTAAAGCCGATCGCCACCGGTCGAAGCCTCCCGTTTACGTCGTCGGTCAAAAAGTGTGGCTTTCAACTAAGAATATTCCTTTGCGTTCCGTATGTAATAAACTTGCACCTAAATTCATTGGCCCATTCACTGTCATCAAGATCATTAGTCCGGTGGCAGTCCGCCTTAAACTTCCTCCAGCGTACAGGAGAATTCATCCCGTGTTCCATGTTTCCAAATTAAAGCCCGTTTTTCATACGGCAATTAACCCGCCCACACCGGTTCCCCCCCCGCCGCGTCTCGTAGATGGGGAGACCGTTTATTCGGTTAAGCGTATTCTGGACTCGAGACGGAGGGGGCGAGGATTTCAGTACTTGGTGGACTGGGAAGGTTATGGTGCGGAGGAGAGGAGTTGGGTTCCTGCAAAAGACATACTGGATCACTCTCTTATTGATGATTACAATCACCAGGTAAGCTCTTCTGGGAGCACCAGGAGGTGCTCTTAGGAGAGGGGTAATGTCACGGTTGCAGGTTTGTGCGCTTTTCCGGAGTGTATGTTCGATCACGTGGGTTTGTTTTGTTTTGGTTGTCCATGTGTATTTGTTATGCTCACGTGACATGACGACACTCAGCGGGGCTGATTACTCACCAGCTGAGGCTCATTATTAGCCCTATATCAGGGCGACGTTTCTATGTCTCTTTGTCAGTTCGTTACATCTGTTCTCATGTGTGTTATCTGTGCTCAGGCCCCTGAGGAGATATTTCTGGACCCTGTTTTTCCTGTCTGTTCCTGCCCTGTGTTCGTCGTCCTGCTAGCCTGTCACTTCCTTGTTTGTTTATTTTGACTTGGTCAAATAAACCTTATTTTTACTTGCTATTGGATCCTATTTTGACTCTTATTTTTGTTGAACGTGACAGGAGGTTTAAGCCTCATAAAATTAATTGAGATCATATTGCATTTGAAAGACACAGACTGAAAAGAAGAATATACTAGTTAAACATTTTTCTAAATAATCTCTGTGTGTTTGAAGTGTTTTTAAGTATGAACTAGGCAGAGAGGGGACTGAAATTCCTGACATGTCGACAGTCTATAAGAAGGTCTGGTTCAGGAGTGGTAAGAATCTGTCTATTTTAAGAACAAAAGTTTCACAGGACAGATAGAAGCTAAAGAGTCAAGATATATTATAAGGTATTAAATAAATAGAAATATTATAAAGTAATGTAATAAGATAAATGAAATAAGGAAATCCCAATGATAGAATAAGATTTAATAAATAAAAAGTTTTAACAAAAATGCAACTAGAAGCTATACTAATGAATATTAAGAAATAAAAAATTGAAGCATAGAAATATCTACATATGGAGATTAATAGTTATATTGATCAGGAAATAAGTTTACTAAATCAGTATGAATAAAAATAGATAAGTTAATGATTTGAGTAAATAAAAAACTAGAGAAGAGGAAAACTTTAATGAATATGGATTAATTGAAGAGTTAATGATCAAATGTTTAAGAAAAAAAAAAGTTTAAAGAAAAATGAATTAGGAAAATCTAGGAGACAAAAATGCTAATTTTTGAAAAGGAAAAGAAGCATAGGAAAATGGAAGAAAAAAAAGATCCAAACATTGTTTAATAGAATAAAAAGAGAAGATGTTTAAAAATATATATTAAACAGATAAGATAAAAATTAGAAAAACCAGTAACATTTGGAAGAAACTAAGATTTGGCTTTAAAAGATAAAATTATGTTTAAGTGCAATAAAATATTGTTGTGGTTTACGTTGACTGTTTTCATCTGTTTTAAAGTCAGCTACAGGCTGTCATCTGAGCCAACAGCTATTTGTAGTAAAAGTAGTGAGTCAAATGTAAAGCATAGACACTGAGGAGACATTAAAGAACATCATAGTGAGTTCAAAAATTTTATAGTGAATATTTTATGTATTTAAAAAGTGATTGAGAATTACAAATTGCATTTCAGATAGGAAAAATGCTTAAAGTAAACAAACATGTGGAGTTAACATAGTACTATGAACTTGAAGCTATTGCAGTAAGGATTTTGAACAGTTACATTAGACATTAGGCCACCATATAGTACTGTTGAATTAAAACAGGTATGGAAATGTTAGAGAAATTAAAATAATGTAAGATGTAATGTAACTAGTGAGGAAGCACTAGAATAAATTAGGAAAAATAAGTGAAGCACAATCTGAAGCCAAAGAAATTAATTAGAAGAACATTTAAGAAATAGAAAATTAAGCATATTTACATATAATAAAAATGATTGATAATTAGAGAAAATAAGTCATTAAACAGCAAAAGGAAAAAAATGATAAAAGGAGTCTTCATTTGATAAAGAAAAAAAAAGATTTATTCAGTCATGAGCTAAATTCTATATATATTTATTAAGAGTATATATGGATGAACTTTGGGGGACTGTAGTCTCGTACCTACCAGACATCTCTGAGTGTACTGGCAAATGGAAAGGTGTTTGAAAAACACAACGAGCAAAATGGCTGTTGACACTTGTGACATGCTACAGCAGTGATGCAGGCACTGCATACTCAGGATTTACTGAGGACTGAAAAAGCTACATTTTTTCAAAGACATTCAAAAGAGACACTAACAAGAGACTGATGAACTGATCAAAGAGAAAAAAACGCTCCACCAGAACTTTACATCAGCTGAGTCAAAGAAAGAAGCCAGCCCAAAGAGAGAGGGGGAAAAACTGTGCCCTGATATGAACGAATGTCAGGACACCACAGAAGCACCAATCTGTGAGCTGGTTGTCTCAGGTTGCGAGGGGGGATAGTCTGACAGTCCACCTCAAAGTAGCTCCTATAGTCCAAATTAAGTTCAAGCATTACAGAAGGAAAATTAAGAACAAAAGTGTAGCTACCCATTCTTGTATCAAATCAGACTCCTGTCAATTTGAAAGAAATTATTATCATGCAAATTTTTAAGTAAGAAAAAGTGTTATAAGGTCATTTCAAGGTGAAACATTAAATATTGAATGATATATTATGATGAATGTTAAATAATTTAGGTTTAAGTTTTAATAGGTTTAATCATAAAAGTCCTTAAACATAGAATGATAAATTACAATGCAGCAGACTAACTAAAGAAAAAGAAAAAGCTTTTGATAAGGCAATAAATAATTTGGAGAATAAATAAGAATGGAATTAAGTATTTAAGGTAAAACTAAGTAAAAGAAATATCTTAGCATAATCTTATTGTGAATGGCCTAAATCAAGATTGGATATTGAAAACTGGAAAGAGATTCAAATCTAGAAAAATTATTTATAGTTAAAGAGAAGATTGAAATAACAAGTTGAAATAAAATTCATAGGACATAAGGTCAGAAAGTAACAGTTCTAAATTGCTATAAGAAAAATTGAAAGAGAAAAGTGTTTAAGAAAACAATATAAGGAATTAATAAGGAATAATAGTTAAAACTGAGCAAACAGAAATTTACAAAACATACAGTAAGTTTTAGTCAGCTGATAAAAAAATGCATCAAAATTGTATGAACAACTAATTTGAGGGGAATGCCTCAGGAAATAATTATGAGCCAAAAGAAAATAACTCAAAGACAAAAAGGAATTAATATATAGCTCAGAAAATTGATTAGTAAAAGAAAGAAGTGTCAAGTTCCAACTAAATGATTATCATTACAGGACTGAGATGCAGATAAAATCAGCCAGCATAGTCAGGGTTCAAATTAAATCAGATGTAGATCTGCCCAGAAAGACAAACACTAGATGCTGAAATAGGTATAAAACTCTATCAAAAAGTGTAAAAATAGGAGCATTAATAGAAACATTTACTGTAATATACAATCTGTCCTAGACATTTCTATTTACATTTAAATTTAAAGGAGTAATAAATTATAAGTAACTAATAATATTTAATTGAAGTTAATTTGATAATTAAAATAAATGGTTAATCAAGACAGATAAAAGAGGCTTAATGTTGATAATATGATTTAAGAGCAATCAATAGGAGAAGATTTTCCAGCTGAAGTTCATATTGTATGTGGAGATATGTTCTTTTGGATGGTAAATATTTCAAGTATTGGGTTTCTATTGAGTTTATTTTAGGTAACTACCAGAGGAGGGTAGAAACTTGTTTGTACTTGTGTAGGCTGATGACTAGCAAATACTGTATACACCAGAATGCATAAGGGTTAAAATTAGGGAGAAGATCTTAGGATGGACACTGTCACAATATGTGGGTGATTGAATTATCTATAGCTTCACAAAGATCTAGTTCAATTAAAAGACTTGACTAGAGACCATTGCTCCAAACAGTAAGATATGATGACTGTTTTTGGTGTTGACTGGATAGAGAATTATTCAGTAAACAAGCACAGTTGAGAAACTGATGAGTAGATGATTGGAGATGGTACCAGAAGCAAATTATGAAGCAGGAACAGTTATTCATTTGTGACAAAAGATGTACTTCCAAGGATTTGAAACATCAGCAGAAATAAGTTCATAAAAGGTTTGCATTCATAAAGTAATTAAAATCTAAGTTAATAAGTGATCAATAAATAAAAACATCTCAATTACCAGAAATGGCTGAAAGAGATGAAGATGATCCATCAAGGCCAAAGCTTGATGAAAATAATAAACTTAATGGGATTAATGTGTTAACAAGTGCATTGGTGAATGATGGCATGGAAACTGACAGAAACAGGCATCTAACACCGCATCGCATGAACTACTATTGGGTCGACCCTTGCAAGAAACCACATGAAACTTTGCATAAAACCTTGCATATAATCTCACCTATAACCTTGCACATAACCTCTTGGAATGGTTTGCAGAGATGTCGAATATAGTAGGGACTTTTATGAAGAAACAATTAATTGCCATGTGCAAAGCAATATCTGTGCAGGAAACCAGAAAGGAGCCATGTAAGAGAGCAGTGATACAAGGTCCAATTGGTCCAGCTGATCGAGTCTATCTGAGGATGCTCTGGAGAGCTCAGGAGGAAAGGACCATATCTGGATGAGGGCAAATCCAACAGCTGCCAAAGTGGATGCCATTAATGGGGTACCAATGCCTCAAAGGAGCAAAAGGAAACAACTCCAGCAAGGGAAAGCTGACCGGAAACAGAGGAGCCTGAATATTCTAAAGCTCTAAACTACAAAGTTCAACTTGTGGAAGGAGAAGTTAATCAGAACAAAGTAAAGAGTGATTCTGATAATATGCCTGAATACCACATACAGCAGTGCCACAAGTCAAGGGATGATGAATGCACAACTGCAGATTTCAAAACTCAGACTCTTAACCACACATCTCCATTAACATCTATTAAAGTCAAGTGAAGATGCTGGTAGCTTAGAAGAAGAGAAACAAGGATGACCAAAGATCAAGATCAACATTTGATGCTTTTTATGTTTGCATATTGAATTTGTTTGCATATTGCTTTTATGGTACCTATATATAATATCACTTCAGTATATTCTACATGAGTGTGAAAACCAGCAGCTAGCACTGAACCAACTGAATACTTATGCTTAAAACATTGTTGTCTTTGATGTGTTAAGAGAAAAAACAGAGTACAGTCTTTTACTTCCTTCAAATCAAGAGAGAGGGGAGATGTTTGGCTGGACTTCTGTCAAAGTACAGTGGCATAATCTAGTCAATTGATAACAGCTATGTGGCTTATATCAGTCACTAGATAGAGGTAATTAAGAGAACTGGATTATGAAATAGCACTTTGGGTTAAAAGACAATAATATTAAGACTAAAGTACCCTGTATTGGTACCCTGCTTAGATAACAGTGTCTTTATCAAATGTTTTCAGAACAAGCAGGAACCCAGTGTGTCTGCAGCTTTCTCTAAGCAGATATGTGTTGTGTTAAGTGACAGAAAACCAAAGACTTCATCAGGCCGTTTGGCAAATCATTCAAATCTGGTGTCTATTAAATGTAGATCTGAGACTACTATAGAAAAAACAGCTAAAACTGTTAAGTTAGTGCTTTTAAACATCAGGGGCCTCATGTACGAAGACTTGCGTGGAAATCTTACTAAAGCATTGCGTACGCACAAAGCTGTAAATGTGCGTACGCAGAAAAAAATTCAGATGTATGAAACACTGCGTACGCCGAGTCTCACGCATATTCTTTTGTACATCCGAATGAACGTGAAACTGAGCGCAACATGCACGAGCACAAAACCCCTCCCTGCCTC